CGATTGCTGCAGAAACCCCACTCAATGTCCAAATGATGTACTCCATCTGTATCCCTAGCGCTTACTTATCAAGCTTAATCTTGATGATTTGGTAGCATGCTTATCTAGACGTTGCTCTTTCACTGGCGATTCTATTTCTCCTCTCTTGCCTTTCTCTGGCAATATTTCCTCGTTTGTTCTATAAAAAAAACAGTATCGTAGATATTATAACAATACGAAACGCATGGATAATAATTACTTATGAAACTTTCGTTATTAATGGATAGTGTACATTAACTTTTTCTATTTATCGATAATTTTCTTGTATTCGGAGCATAGCGCAATTTGCCTCCCAAATAACTCATATATTAAGGGGTTGTTCAAGTGGTGAGTGTGTTTGTTTTTCTCGATTGTGGCTTGGGTTTCAAATCACTACACTTGAATATTCTCTTAGGGCTACCCTGAGAGCGCAGACTATATGTCTCAAATAATTACTCGGTGTGTGTGGGACGGGGGGACTGCCATAGCTGATATGGTTTAGATGTGTCATCAAAGAGTTTCAGACATTCCGTGGATTTATAAAATAAAAAAAAACTCATTAATTTTGCTTGTGTGATCGCCATGAGCAATTTGTGATAAAAGATAACATATATTAAACTAAAATCGAAATTAACCCAATTGGTTGGAACAGTTAACTAGGCGTCAAGAGTTTTTAACTTAGGAACTTGAGGTCACTTGTTCACTTACATCATTTGCAAAGTGTTCTAGGGGTGTCTAGGTAGTCGATCCTCTACGTTTGTACCCCTATATAATAAAAAATGAAAAATATGATAAATTATGTATACTACAAAACATATTTCATTCAACCAAACTCATCACCTGTTTGTGAAAAGAAATTCAGTAGATAATAGATATATTTAATTTAAGACTATAAAAACATTAATGATTTTTTTGTCTCACTCCTTTCTTCTATGTACATTAGTGTGCGGACCTCACGGGGATTGAACCCCGAACCCTAGTACTCTCCAGCCCTGCCGCCCGAGTCCCTTTATCAGCAGGGCCGCATGCCTATTGATGATAACATTAATGATTTACAAAGTTGAAAATACATCAAATGCAAGACATTCAAGATTTATGGTTAAAGTAACCCTATTTCTTGCTTTTAAATTACAATAATATCGAGAACCTTACATAATTCTTGCTAATTTATAGTGAGATATGGCGACGGTTTTCTTCTATTGCCTGTCGAATAGGTAAGAAAAGCTTTTTGGCAATGAAAGTTTTGAATTACGTCGCCAAAATGGGTAGGATCTTTCCCGCCCAGGTTTTTTGCGAAGAAATTTTTTTGTTTACGTCGCAAATATTCAAAGAAAAAGTTTTAAATTTAAAATTAGAATTTAGCACTATTATATTATCCGAAATTAAAACTAGCATCATTAGATATACTATAAAAGAACTATAGAATTAAAAACTACACTAACTAAAATTGTAACGGTTATTTATCATTTAAAATTAGTTTTAACTTACTATTCAAAATTAATAACTTACTCATAAATTTAAGTTATTACTACTTACTAAACATTATATACTTATTTACGTGAAATGGGTGTAATTGTTATATATAACATGTAGTTGTTCATGCTTTTCAACGTGTACTCCAAGTAACATATATTTTATCATCGTGCAAAATCGATTTATTATATTTCATAAATTATATATAACGATTGTAATTATCAACAAGATTAGTTAATTATTATTATGTTTATTATTAAAATTGTAATTAACGTATAACATTATCTTACAATGATTGTTAACGGCTTGTATCAACAAGAGATACGTTGAAAAAAATATGACAAAACATACGATTGACCATTGACTTATAACGACGATCATTGATCTATCTAGTCAATAAAAGGATAGTTTTTAACGTTTAGCGTTTCCCCCACGTCAGCTATCATGATGCTTTGGTTGTACTAATTAGCAACCGTTCTATTATCATAGTTTGTATTAACACTCCATTTATTTCGCGAAAAATAGATAAATTAAAAAATATTTTTTAAAAAATAATCGTTAATATCACTCGAAATAATCAGTTACTTAAAAACATTTCATTATTGACATGTCTAAACATTTTCATGAACGGTGGAATGTTTTTTTCGATCGTTCATTTTCGTAAGCGATACGAGTAATTATTTTTAAGAAGATGTTTTTCAAGCCATTCATTTTTTTTTGCGAAACAAATAGGTCTTAAGTAATGTGGCTAATTTGCTTGATGACTCACTTGTTCTGTACTGCGGTGTTTACTTTATTCGTCTGAATAATATAAATTCAAAACTAATTAACCTTCCTCCTTTGATAATTCGCTAAAAATGAAATTGCTTTTGTGGCTATAAGTATGATATGTAGCTATAAGTTTCATTCGATGGTAAAATTGTTTGGGCCATTGGTAATTCGTGTTCTTTTGTGACAAGAAACAAAACTTATCGCGAATTATCAAAGCAATTTGACCATCGAATGAAACTTATAGCTACATATCATACTGAAAAGTATTTTCGTAGTTAAAAGGGTTAATACCATGAAAAATTCAAAATTGGTACATCTGTGATAGATTTAGCTTGAACTAAGTTTTTGACTACCAAAAACCCCAAACTGGTACAACCTTGACAAATTTACCAAAAACTATTTTTTTAACCCCTAAAAACTCGAAACTGGTACACTTGTGACAAATTTACTCACTATTAAATTAGATTTATACCACGAAAAATCACAAATAGGTAAACCTGTGACAAACGGATAGGTAAAATCCCAAAAATGATACATTCGTTAACTATCATGTGTCATTTAACTAAACAATTTGACGGTAAAATTTAACGGAAACAAACGGAAGGTAAATTTGTCACAAGTGTACCAGTTTGGGGTTTTTGGTGGTTAAGAAATTAGTTTGGAGTAAATTTGTCACAAATATATTAGTTTGGGGTTTTTCATGGTATTAATCCTAGTTAAAAATATGGGACAAAGTGTACCGAAAAATTTGCCACCAACATTATTTCGTGCCCAGAAATGTATTCCGTTGCCATGAAAAGTACTTTCGCCGCGCTTGTTAGCCACAAAAATGGGTGGCTAAATTTGTTAACCATACTCACCAACAATATCTTCGTGGCTCAAAATAAGATATACCGGCACGAAATGTTGACCATGAAATTATTTCCCCTGGCTCTAAAGTCAATCAAAGTTCATATCTTTCGCCGCGAAACAGAATAATTCGTGGCTAACCGTCCGACCACGACTATTTTTTTCGTGGCAACATGTCTAATTTTCTACCATGAGAATCATTTTCTTTGCCGAAGATGAGACCTATTGCCACGAAAATTGCATTTCATGCAGTTATTATTTGACTCTCTTGAAACTCACTTAATTAATAACTAAAATTCAAGAGAATTCAACTATGAACAAATACAAGCATTTTATTTACGAACTCACTTAATTCAAAGTTCAAGTAAAAAAAAATCGATGAAATTTGGAGCGGTATTTTCTCAATTTATTCTCCATAGCTTCCCTTTGAGATCCCAAACCCTCTATAATAAGTCTCAACCTACGGTTAGTGATTTACTGAGCAGTAAGTGTAGTACGATAAAGACTAGAAGATCCCCATCAAGCAAGAAGGATAGCGCGCTTCAATCTTGTTCGAGCACCCAAAGCTTTGGGAAAACTCAACCGAGTTTGCAAAAAAAAACATAGGAAGCCTATAATAAAATCTTTACAAAATAACTCCATATGTAATGTAGCAATGTTATATGTACTAATAATTTTTTGGGTTAATACCACGAAAAACCCTAAACTAGTACACTTGTGACACATTTACCCCAAACTATTTTTTTGACCATAAAAAACCCCAAACCGGTACACCTGTGACAATTTTACCCTAAACTATTGTTTTGACCACCAAAAACCCACAGATACGCTGATGAATTTTACTCTCGACTTACCACAAAAACCCCAACAAATGTGACAATTTTACCCGAATTAAATTTTTAATATTATTATTTTTTATTTTTTTCGAATTTTTTTTATTTTTTATTCTTTTCTTTTCTTTTTTTTTCATTTTCAAACTCTGGCCGGTCGTCGGACTAGGCGGAAGCCGGCGAGGGCCGTCCTCGCCCGCCCAGGGCAACGGAGACCCTCGCCTGCGTCGAGCGAGGGCCGCCCTCGCCTGAGTCGGGCGAGGACGGCCCTTGCCCTGGGCGGGCGAGGATGGCCCTCGCTCGACGCAGGCAAGGGTCGCCCTCGCCAGATCCGGCGAGGGCGGCCCTCGCCAGATCCGGCGAGGGCGGCCCTCGCCGGCCAGAGGTTGAAGGTGAAGGAAAAAAAAAGAAAAGAAAAGAAAAGAAAAGAAAAAAGAAAAAATTAAAAAAATTAAAAAAATAATATTAAAAATTAGTTCAGGGTAAAATTGTCACATGTGTACCAGTTTGGGGTTTTTTGTGGTATGTTCGGGGTAAAATTGTCACATGTGTACCAGTTTGGGGTTTTTTATGGTCAAAAAAATAGTTTGTGGTAAATGTGTCACAAGTGTACCAGTTTAGGGTTTTTCATGGTATTAACCCTAATTTTTTTCTAAAACGTAATTATTAAGCAATGTTGCAATTCAGATAAGATGTTGCATCAACTCCCCTTATATCTTTTTCTTTCATGAAAAGAAAGAATACCCTCTTTAAACTGCGGACATCTTGAGGTCCGGATTGGACTAAGATTGAGTCTTTAAAGGATTTGCTCATGTCCAAAATCAAATTTCTTCATCACATAACTTAAAGCCTATCATTTCCCTCGGTAATTAAACCTCGCAAGATTTTCCTATGTAAATTTAACTCTTTTTCCTCTGCCTTTCAGATTACCCAAGAGGGACCAGAAAACCATCATATTAGCCAAGAAAAGCAATGATTGGTGCGGCAGAGAATGGGACATATAGGGCCCAAGCTATGATAATTTAATTTAAAGTTACAAAATCCAGCTGCATAGACATATAGGGTGCCAAACACATTAAATTACTCCATCTTCCTAACCATACACACACATTCTAAATGTTGCACATCAATCTCCGGCGGGCAAATTCGGACGACGATCCTCTATCTCTGACGGCGATCGCTCGATACCTCGATGACAAAAATCAATGGTCGAAATTCATCGAGATACCAAACGATGTATCGTGCGCGATCCATTTAGTAATAGCTACACAAAACCAGCAAAGAAAGGCCACATCAAGTTGACCACTCCTGAAAATTCTCTCTAGCATCAATCAATCAAAGCACTCAAATTGATTATTCTTGTAATCGTTAGTGCTGAAACATCATTGCGTCCGGCCTCGGCTCTTCGTATTGCTTCTTCCGCTTCTTCTTCTCGTAAACGATCCCTCTGGCCTTGGCCTGCGCATCCCTCACCTCCCTCAGGTACAGCCTCACCGCCCGCGTGCCGAACGGGTTCGTCTCTGGGTCCCCGCCGCTCTCCTCGAAGGCGGCCCGGAGCCGCCCCACGAGCGCGTCGAGGCTGCCCCAGGCCTGCCGCAGCGGGCACGGGCACGCCGGCGACGGCTGCGGGCACCCGAACAAGGGGCAGCCCTCGGCGTGGACCTTGGTCTTCCCGAACTGGTCCAGGTACTTGAGGAACTCGAGCACGTGCGCCCCGCTGCACCGCGACAGCACCAGCGGCGGTCGGTGGTCGCGCAGGTACTGCTGGAACGCGCTCCAGTCACGCCGCTTCTGCGACTCGTAGCGGCTCACGGCGGGCGGCAGCAGCATCATCGGCGGAGGATACATGAACGACTGGTGGAGATCGGATCTTGCGGCGACAGGGGCGGAGGTCGTGCCCATGGAGTTGCGCTGACTTCTCAACGCCACGGCTGCTGCGGCGGCTATGGCGGCTGACATGTTGAGATAATATCAATATGAGTACGATCTCTCTCTCTCTGTCCCTCTGTCTCTCTTTCTGTGTGTACTTAAGGATTCTGAGAAGCAAGAGTTGGAATCACAGGAGATGATTACAAGATCAGATATGATGAATTCATGGAGTTTCTGCTTCAAATGGATAGAGAAGGAGATTCCTTTTCTGATCTTGACTGCTCTGCTGAGTGGAGACAATGGTTAGTGGAAGGAAAGGAGTACATGGTAGAGAGAGAGAGAGAGAGAGAGAGAGAGATTTGTTGTGTGTGTGGAAAGGTGGAGGAACGAGAAAGGGATATAAATAAGAGGTGAAGAAGAGAGCGTGGAGGGTCATGGGATGGAGAAAAAATCTTAGCGTAGATCTCGTCCTTAAGTTAGACAAGAGAGATGTGGATCGTCCAAAATATGTGACCCTTTCGATTGATCTGTGACATTGCTGCGTGAGCTTGCTCCAACAACTCGTCATTCTCCATTCTTTTCATGAGACCTACAAGACGGTTGTGTCAAGTCAAGTTCGGATAGGGTCATTCTGATCCGATCCGAATTAATCCATTAATTTGTTTATAACTCATTTATTTATAGTACAAAATTTTCGACTCATATCCGATCCCTACCCATATCCAAATTGAGATGAGAGTGCTGAGTGAGTGAGTGCGAGATCGAATGAAGAGAGAGTCATAAGTTGTAAACCCATATATGATCCATTTATGACCTTTTTAATACCGATGTTATGTTTAAACTCATTTGCTAAATATAACTTACCGATATAACAACTCATCATATCATATATGAGTTAAGAAATTGGTTTATGACCCATTTTGATAGGTTTACATTTCATTGATGAGCTAAAAACATAAATAGCATATAATTTTTATTAAGTTTTCATGTTAGTGATATTTATATGTGTAACCTATTAAGTTGTGATTTTTTTTCTAACTAGGGATGAAAGAAAAAATAACTGATTTCAAATAGGTGAGGAGAGAGAGATCTATAATTTGTCTTATATTATGTGGACTTTATATCTTATGAGTAAGATGTACTTATTAGTTAAATAAAAACTCAACATTTCGCGATAAGTGCATCATAAATCCTAAAACTTGTCGCGAAAGTGCAATAGAGTCATAAAACTTTCAAAAAGTGTAATTAATTTATAAAATTTGTTACGAAAGTGCAATCGAGTTATAAAACTTTCAAAAAGTGCAATTAAGTCCTAAATTTGTTATGAAAATGCAATATAATTCTAAAACTTTCAACAAATGCAATCAACGAAATGACTTGATTTGATCAATTTGACAAGTTTTAGGATTTGATTACACTTTTTGAAAATTTTATAACTTAATTGCACTTTTATAACAAGTTTTATGACTCATTTGCATTTTCGTGACGAGTTTTAGGATTTCCAATGCACTTATCCTAAAAAATTTTAGATATGTATGTCTCGCGATATTGTACTTTTAATGTATGTTGGCTATGGTGATTATTTCTCATCCACTATCACCTATGTTTGTGGACTCTCTCTCTCTCTCTCTCCTCAATGCCTTGTCGTCCGTCGCCAACGCCTAAACTTGACCGGTGCCATTGGCTTTCGTTAGCTCAATGTTACCTTGGAGACCTATATGACCACATAGGCGATGTCGAGCCTCTAGATCTGGAGGCTCCTTGCCTCTGAATTTAGAGGCTTGTTTGTGGCGATGAGTTGGAGCTTGAAGCTCTGTGCCGAGCTTCATTATAAGCAATGAGCTCAATGCTAGCATCATTGGCTACAATGGTCATAAGCGTGGCGGCAACAACAATCCCGTATGAGGGTTGGGTAGAGAGAACAAGAAAATGGAGGGGATAGGAGTGCGGATCCTTTACCCAAACGGCGTACATTGCTCCCTAACACCATGGTGAACACAAGTTCTTCGTCCATAGGGAGTGTTGGATTAGTTGTTGAAGCCCGTGGTAAAACGATCTAACGCAGTAAGGATCAGATCAGAGAGGACGTGTGTTCGAATTTGGCGAAGGAGATGATAGTAGAAAATGATTGGCGACAGACACTTAGATCTTCATCCTTATCGAACGAATTGATTTGCTTTATTGAACGTACACGATGAAATTTCATCAGAAGTTAACTAATATGTGGTGCAAGATGACAATATGTGGTGCAAGGACGAAGATCAGCCAATAGATACGTGTGAAGGTGGAAGAGGGGGACAAAGGAGGGACCTACGCATTAGACTGGACGACACTCACGTCACGTCCTGAAGTGATAGTTCAGATGTCTTTTCATTTCATCAAACGTCGCCTCAATTGCTTTTTCCTTCTTTCCCTCCGGTTCCCATGCCATTTTTTTTCTTTTTTGATTTAATTCTAAAAAAATAACTTTTTTTTTGAATAATAATCCTGACCCGAACTTTTTTTTCTTATAAAAATTTATCCACTTTTACTTAAGTCTCAAATCTGATCCAAACAATATGAAAATTTTACGTCACGTGGCCAGATTTGAAACTCGAATGAAAGTTGATACTTTTTATTGAGACAAAAAAAATCCGGGCTAAAATTGTATTCGGGCTAGAATTGTTTTCGGGCTAAAATTGTCACTTAAAGTAAAATTAATGTTTTTTTTTTGAATTAGCTCCTCTTTTTTGTGGAAACAAGCTCTTTTTTTACCACCTTCTTTAGTGTCACCCGCCATCTCATCTAGACTTGCAAAAAAAGGAAACTTAGGTATGTCTAGTCGATGTCATTTGATGAAATGTTTATCATATTGGATTTATCTTATTTAATCCATAAAGTTAACGACATAATTTTTGAACTCGGTTATCTATCTATTTAATATTGATCTATTCGTTGTTGTACGAAAAAAAAAAAAATGTACTCAACCTCTCTCCTTCATGATCTCAACTTCACTTGTGCATGAGATGTTTCATGTAATTATGCTGCTCTCATCTTCACGTGTATCTAGGTCGGCCCAATTACCATATATTTATCATTAGATGTAGTATTATAATATTGAATTTATCTTCTTCAATTAATAAAGTTAATGAAAGATGTTGTCGTTTCAAGAAATAATGCTGCTCTGATGTTGTCTTTGTGGTTTGTGCTGCCTCAGCCATCACATCTATGTTGTATGGACTGCTTCGAAGGTAACACCAATGGAGGAATGACTTTTGTGTGGAGAGAAGACGATTTGGTCCCATGACACGACACTTCCAATCAAATCAACTTTGGACAAGTCGCTGACACTTGTTTGAAAAATTTTATGGGGTCATCTTAGAAAATAGGAAAAAAATCACCAAAAATTTCAAACTTTGTCATTTGTGACACATTTATCCCGAACTTTTTTTTGTGACACCAAAAATCTCGAATTTTGCTTTTTGTGACACATTTACCAAATGTATTTAATCCATGGGCATTTTTGTCTTTTTTGCTTTTTCTTTTTTTTTCCTTTCCGGCGAGGGGGGCCTCGCCGGCGTTGGGCGAGGGCGGCCCTCGCCCGGCTCGGCGGCCCTCGCCCGGCTCGGGCGAGGTCGACCCTCGCCGGCGTCGGGCGAGGGCCGCCCTCGCTCGCCCAGCGAGGGCGACCCTCGCCCGACGCCGGCGAGGGTCGCCCTCGCCGGATCTGGCGAGGGGCCCTCGCCGGCGAGCGAGGCGGCCTCACCCGATCCGGCGAGGGCGACCCTTGCCGGCGTCGAGCGAGGGTCGCCCCTCGCCGAGCGAGCGGTCGGATCTGCGAGGGCCGCCCGCCGGCGTCGCGAGGGTCGACCTCCCGAGATCGGGCGAGAGCCGCCTCGGCCGGACTGCCGCCGAGGCCGCTCGCTCGGCGCCGGCGAGGGCCCCCCTCGCCGGATCCGGCGAGGGCAGCCCTCGCCCGACGCCGGCGAGGCCCCCCCTCGCCGGAAAGGAAAAAAAAAGAAAAAAAAAGAAAGAAAAAGCAAAAAAGACGAAAATGCCCATGGACTAAATACATTGGGGTAAATGTGTCACGAAAAGTAAAGCTCGGGGTTTTTGGTGTCACAAAAAAAAGTTCGGGGTAAATGTGTCACAGATGGCAAAGTTCGGGGTTTTTAGTGATTTTTTCCCTAGAAAATAAAAACATGAAAATTAAGAAACGACGAAAAGAAGTGAAAGAAAAACGATCTTTCAATAGTCATAATTTTCTCAATTTTTCTTCCGATCAATATAGTGCGACTGACGAATTACAAATATGAATATCACAGGGAATTCGTCTTTAAACGATGGTAATGATTTTGTAACTCACTAATGGAACATATGGTTTTAAGGAAATTTCTTTTAATTGAAGATAGAGGAAAATATAACTTTTTTTTTTCATTTTGTTCGGATGAATAAAAAGTGAAGGTGGAGGAGAAGAGTTTGCTTTATTTGAAAAGAATAAGAAATTAGATGAAAGGAAAAAATTATGGTGAGTAACAATTTTGCCCTTGCAAATTTCAATATCAAATATGAGTGAGAATAAACATAAAGTCCTATACAATACTGAAATTTTGAAAATAATCATGCTAATTACAAGCGACTAAAGTAATTCTTATTAATGCTCGCATATAAAATATTTGGTGTAAGTTTTTTCGAATAAAACATAAATTACTTAAAAATTGATATTAGGAATGTTTTACTTAATTATCGAATAAAGACATCAGAAATTTCAAAACTATTATATAAAGTACATTTTAGCACCACAACTCTTGAATAATTTGTAAGTGTCAAGATATTTTAATATCGCTTAATTAAATACTTCTAGTAACCTATCTCACGGGAAGATCTTAGAAATTAGGAGTGAGCACTCAATCCAGTTCAATTGGGAAACCGACTCGAACCAATTGGGAACCGGCCTTGACTGGTTCGGTTCTCAATTCTGTACGTTGAACCAATCAGTTCTACTCGGAAACCGGGGCCTTAGGGTATTGAACGGGCCTTGCCAGTCGTGCTCTGCTTAGAGCTGTTTGTGTAAGAGCCTATTTACTCTCGTTTCCGAACTTTCTACAGGATCTGCTCCTACAGTTGGGTTCACACCATAAATCATCACAGTTCATATCAACAAACTAAGCAGAGGAAATTTCCTTATTAATTCTGGCAATATGTAGCCTCAATTGGTACTCCTTATGTATCACTCTAAAGCCATATATGTTGTATCAGTATGATGAGGGGCAATTTCTGCTTCCAGTGTTTCCTCCTCTTTTCCAACTCATATAACCACAGCTAGATTTATCACCTAACATCCTTCATAACTTCCAACTTGTTTCATGCACAGT